GAGTAATGTCCTGGACAAAAGTTCAAAGTGTAAAATAAACAAAGGGAGATAATTCAAAAATTAGGCAAGGCAGAGTTACGGTTCTTGTGCACTGCACACCTACTCAATGAGATCTCTCTACCTACAAAGTTTCATGTTGATACCTATTATAGTTTTAGAGTTATGTCCCGGACAAAGTTCAAAGTGTAAAATAAACAAAGGGGGGATAATTCAAAAATTAGGCAAGGCAGAGTTACGGTTCTTGTGCACTGCACACCTACTCAATGAGATCTATCTACCTACAAAGTTTCATGTTGATACCTCTTATACTTTTAGAGTTATGTCCCGGACAAAGTTCAAAGTGTAAAATAAACAAAGGGGGATAATTCAAAAATTAGACAAGGCAGAGTTACGGTTCTTGTGCACTGTACACCTACTCAATGAGATCTATCTTCCTACAAAATTTCATGTTGATACCTCTTATACTTTTAGAGTTATGTCCCCGACAAAGTTCAAAGTGTAAAATAAACAAAGGGGGATAATTCAAAAATTAGACAAGGCAGAGTTACGGTTCTTGTGCACTGTACACCTACTCAATGAGATCTATCTACCTACAAAGTTTCATGTTGATACCTCTTGTTGTTTCAAAGTTATGTCCCGGACAAGAAAAGGGGACGGACGGACGGAAAGCCGGACAGACGGACGGACAAAGCGGCGACTATATGCTCCCCCGAAATTTTTCGGGGAGCATAAAAAATTATTTGAAGAAATTATTTTTCTAAAACAAAACTTGACAAATGATTATAAAGACAAACTTCTACATTTACAAAATGAATTGACTAAATTAAGAAACAAAAAATAAAGGGTGCTATGATTAGGTCAAGGTCACAATGGACTGAATCGAATCTGGAGAAAAACCTACTAATTACTTTTTAAATTTAGAGAAATCACATTGTTCAGCTAAGACAATACCTTTTCTGGAACTTGATGATGGAACTTTTATTTATGATCAAAAAGATATACTTACAGAAACTAGTGCTTATTATGAAAAATTATACAGAAATGTAACTTTGAATGATTGTAATAATTTGATAGAGAATTGAGAGATTGTGATATTAATATGTTGTCTGATAGTGAATCGCTCAATCTTGAAGGTCTCCTTTCATATGATGAAGTCTCCTTTACATTAAAAAATATGAAAAATGATAAAAGCCCTGGTGTGATGGATTTACAGTAAATTGTTCAAAACTTTTTGGAATAGAATTGGACATTTTGTGGTGAAAGCTATTAATTATGCATATAAGGTTAATTCATTTTCTAGAAATCAAAAATTAGGAACAACAAGCAATTATCATGGTATTGCAAGCAATCCATAAGTCCCCTACCGGTTAGAACCCAATCAACATTCTGAAGGGCCATTGGCCATTCACTAATGTTTCAATTTTTCTCTATTTTAAGTTAATTTGTTGGAAAAGTTCTTTAAAAGTGATCACAGGAAACAGTTTTTATGAACAGACAGACAGACGAACTGAAGGACACTCTAAAATTAATATTTGAAACATCCCTGTTACCAAAATATAACATTTTTAAAAGCAAAATTCTTAAAGAGGAGATAACTCTTGAATTAAAGATGCAATTTCATAAAAATTTTCAGCTCGTTTTGACTAATCACAAATACAGTCGAGACTGCCTAAGCGACCCCCTGGTTTAAACGACTCCCTGTCTTATCCGACCTTGTTTCAGTACTCCCAACGTATTTTCCTATATAAATGGTCTGAATTAAACGACTCCCTGTCATATGTGACAAGCGACCCTAATTGTCTGGTCCCAATGCAATGTTTGGTCTGATTTAAACGACTTTCACACCTTTTAATTGTCCGTTAATCAGATAAATAATACCTATTATAACACCCAGAGGGCCAAAAGTCCAATTATAATCCAGTAGCAAACAAAGTCTACACAACTCTATCTCAATTACACAGTATACGTACATGCAGGTATCAAGTGACGTAGCGTCTGTTCATGGGAAGCATGATGCAATCGATGTGTGTGTAATGTATAATGGCCGTAATAAACTGGTTTAAGACTTGTGTTAGATTTTTTTTTAATTATAGAGTGCCCACGGAAGATTTTTTAGGCAGCATTTTTTAAATTTACCTTTCTATGGCTGCATAATTAATACGGAAAAAATATTGATACCAAACCAGAAAAAGCTTTGGATATGGATAATATGTAACACAATTTTTTCATGGTTTTATTTCATAAATTTTTATATGATGCTCAAATTACGATTTGTCAATATCGTAAGTTCAAATAAGCATAATATATTAAGATATCACCCAATTTAGCATTTCATGTAAATAAAGGCCATTAAAGGGAGGTAATTAGAACTTTATTTTCTATAAATTCTAAGTCAAATTTTCCAATAAGAAATCAATGCATGTAATTTATTGATTAAATATAATGTGCACAAATATTTGCAGTACACATTTTACATATTCTTTGATGTTGGAAAATTGTTTTATTTGCATAATTATATCCATATATATATTTATTGCAATTGTCGTATACACACACAAAATTCATATCTTTTGGCTAATACCCCGTGGAAATTGGAGCTATATTATCACCACTTTGTGCTTCAAAATTAACTCTTTAAGGATATGACTGGTGACATGTCCGGGGGTCCGTACTCGACAGCGCAAGCTGCATTTTGTGCCCGAAAGGGCCAATGGACCCTCATTAAGCTTTAACTTCATTCATCATTATTCGTATACACACAGTAACAATATCAATCACAAAACATACAGGATCTTTAAGTCACAATGGTATATAGACAGAGAGATGATGTTTAAATTTAATTTTCTTTGAGACTGTATTAAGAGACTCCCTGTCATATGTGACCTTTTTCTGAAGATCCCTTGGAAAGTCACATATGACAGTCTCGACTGTATTGTTATATTTGCCATGTTTTAAGCCTATTTCTTGCCAAGGCAACCAATATTTTTTCAAAATAGGAAGAAACGAAAATAAGACATGCATAATCTCCAGACTGCCATCTACCCATATGTCAAGTTTCATAAAAATATTTCCAGTACTTTTTGAGTTATCACTGGATCCAGTTTATGTGTAAAATTTGCCTCATTTTCAGCCTATTTGTTGCCATAGCAACCAGAATTTTCAACATAGGAAGAAAAGAAAAAGACGTGCATAACCTCCATACTGCCATCTATCCATATATCAAGTTTCATAAAAATATTTTCAGTACTTTTCAAGTTATCGCGGGATCCAGTTTTGTGGAAGGACGGACTGACAGACAGACGGACAGACAGACGGACCGACAGACGGTTTAACCGGTAGGGGACTAATTACATGCACCTTTGTTGATAAACTTTGTATCATTAGTTTTGAACAAATATTACATATGCCACTGTTTTATAACCATTGCTTTTCAATAGGACATAGATATATCTACATTAAATCTTTTTAGTCCCCTACCGGTTTACCGGAGGGGACTTTAGGTTTACCCTCCGTCCGTCTGTCCGTCCGTCTGTCTGTCAGTCCGTCAGTCCGTCCGTCCGCAAAACTGGATCCCGCGATAACTTGAAAAGTACTGAAAATATTTTTATGAAACTTGGTATATGGATAGATGGCAGTATGGAGATTATGCACGTCTTTTTCTTTTCTTCCTATGTTGAAAATTCTGGTTGCTATGGAAACAAATAGGCTGAAAATATGGCAAATTTTACACATAAACTGGATCCAGTGATAACGCAAAAAGTACTGGAAATATTTTTATGAAACTTTACATATGGGTAGATGGCAGTCTTGAAATTATGCAGGTTATTTTCGTTTCTTCCTATGTTGAAAATTCTGGTTGCTATGGCAACACATAGACTGAAAATATGGCAAATTTTACACATAAACTGAATCCAGTGATAACTCAAAAAGTACTGGAAATATTTTTATGAAACTTGACATATGGGTAGATAGCAGTCTTGAGATTATGCATGCCTTATCTGTTCTTCCTATTTTGAAAAAATATCAGTTGCCTTGGCAACAAATAGGCTTAAAACATTGCAAATATAACAATATTTGTGATAAGTCAAAAAGAGCTGAACATTTTTATGAAATTGCATCTTTAATTCAAGAGTTATCTCCTCTTTAAGAATTTTGCTTTTAAAATGGTATATTTTGGTAACAGGGATGTTTCAAATATTAACTTTAGAGTGTCTTTCAGTCCGTCTGTCTGTCTGTTCATAAAAACTGTATCCTGTGATCACTTTTAAAGAACTTTTCCAATAGAGAAAAATTGAAACATTAGTGAATGGCCAATGGCCCTTCAGAATGTTGATGGGGTTCGAACCGGTAGGGGACTTATGGATTGCTTGCAATACTAAGATAATTGCTTGTTATGACAAAGGAATCAGATTTGTGAAAGATATTCTTAATGAACAAGGTGATTTTATTGAGTTAAATCTTTTAGAACAGTGTATAGGCAAACAAGTTAATTTTTTAGAATATCATGGTTTAAAACAGGCTATAAATTTTAAAATCATACATGCTAAAGCTAAATACTACCATTAAAACTGATTTGCTGAATGTTCAATATCCTATTTTAAGCTGTTTTATCAAACATATTCTTATAAATAGCAATAACAAATACATGTATGAAACTTTTGTTAGAAATACAGATATACCAACAAGTAAGGAACAAGAGCACCGCTAGGCGGAGCATTATATGCCCGAAAGTGGTTTTTTTTTTAGTAAAGATGAAGCATTTGTAAGACATGGGACTAAAATAAAGTATTACCTCCTTCAAATAACAATCCTCCTTTGCAGTTTCAATATTGTGGTCCAAATGGAACTTTTAAGTTATGTCCCAGAAACTGTTTTCAATTCTAAGGTAAAAGTGACCTTGACCTTTGACCTTGTGACCCCAAAATCATGAGGGGTCTTTAACCCAATATGGACAATCATACTATGAAGTTTAAACACAGTAGGCCAAATGATACTTAAGTTATATTCCGAAAACTGTTTTCAGTTTTAAGGTAATAGTGGCCTTGACCTTGTGACCCCAAAATCAATAGGGGTCTTCTACCCAATATGGACAATCATCCTATGAAGTTTGAATATTGTGGGCTAAATGGAACTAAAGTTATGCTCAAGAAACTGTTTTCAATTTCTAAGTAATAGTGACCTTGACCTTTGACCTTGTGACCCCAAAATCAATAGGGGTCTTCTACCCAATATGGACAATAATCCTATGAAGTTTGAACACTGTGGGCCAAATAGAACTTAAGTTATGCTCCGGAAACTGTTTTCAGTTCTAAGGTAATAGTGACCTTGACCTTTGACCTTGTGAACCCAAAATCAATAGGGGTCTTCTACCCAATATTGTCAATCATCCTATGAAGTTTGAACACTGTGTGCCAAATGGAACTTAAGTTATGCTCCGGAAACTGTTTTCAGTTTTAAGGTCATAGTGACCTTGACCTTTGACCTGTGACACTAAAATCTAAAGGGGTCTTCTATCAAATATGGACAATCATCCTATGAAGTTTGAACACTGTAGGACAAATGGAACTTAAGTTATGCTCCGGAAACTGTTTTCAGTTTTAAGGTCATAGTGACCTTGACCTTTGACCTTGTGACCCCAAAATCAATAGGGGTCTTCTACCAAGTATGGACAATCATCCTATGATGTTTGAACACTGTGGGCCAAATGGAACTTAACCCATTACTTCATATACACGCCTTTTAACGCCTTTTTCACCCCCCCCCCCTTTTTGTTGTCTCAAATGATGAAAAAATGCCTTATTTAGGCCCCAAACACTTGTTTTTGTTTGAGAAATGTTGTTAAAAAAAGTGACCCTTTTTTCGGCGCGGCCCCCCAACCAAAAGATACATCAGGGGGTTGCCAGAAGGGGGATGTGCCCCCTTCTGTTTGGGGGGGTTTGAAGGGGGGCGGAGTCCCCCTCATCGCCAAGAAAATTTTGGACTTGTGAGAGGCTGTAAATGACCCCAGATTGATCATAAGGTAACGTGTAACCAACGCTGAAAAGCATTTGACTCTATCTCAATCCATTGAGAAGTTGCAGCACTTTGAAATCAATTTTGATGGAAAAAATCAACGCAAAATAGTGATTTTTGGCAATTTTGAGATGTCCCCTCGTTGCCATGGTAACAGAAAATTTAAGCCTGAGCATGTTGTTGCAAGGACAATGGTCCAGTCAACATTTGTGCCAAGTTTGATTAGTGTTGAAGCAGTTTTTATAGTATTATAGCAATTTGAACTTGTAACGGGAGACTTTTCAATGAAAACAGCCATTTTTCACAAAATGCTCATGAAGCAATGGGTTAATGAAAAAAAATAAAAAAATCTACAAAACAACAATTTTTCATCAAATTTATATGACAGGCCATGTTTAAACATGAAAAAACGCGATTTAGGGTAATTTCAAGTATTTTCATCATTTTCTGTTAACCCATTACTTCATATACACGCCTTTTAACGCCTTTTTCACCCCCCCCCCCTTTTTGTTGTCTCAAATGATGAAAAAATGCCTTATTTAGGCCCCAAACACTTGTTTTTGTTTGAGAAATGTTGTTAAAAAAAGTGACCCCTTTTTCGGCGCGGCCCCCCAACCAAAAGATACATCAGGGGGTTGCCAGAAGGGGGATGTGCCCCCTTCTGTTTGGGGGGGTTTGAAGGGGGGCGGAGTCCCCCTCATCGCCAAGAAAATTTTGGACTTGTGAGAGGCTGTAAATGACCCAGATTGACCATAAGGTAACGTGTAACCAACGCTGAAAAGCATTTGACTCTATCTCAATCCATTGAGAAGTTGCAGCACTTTGAAATCAATTTTGATGGAAAAAATCAACGCAAAATAGTGATTTTTGGCAATTTTGAGATGTCCCCTCGTTGCCATGGTAACAGAAAATTTAAGCCTGAGCATGTTGTTGCAAGGACAATGGTCCAGTCAACATTTGTGCCAAGTTTGATTAGTGTTGAAGCAGTTTTTATAGTATTATAGCAATTTGAACTTGTAACGGGAGACTTTTCAATGAAAACAGCCATTTTTCACAAAATGCTCATGAAGCAATGGGTTAATGAAAAAAATAAAAAAATCTACAAAACAACAATTTTTCTTCAAATTTATATGACAGGCCATGTTTAAACATGAAAAAACGGGATTTAGGGTAATTTCAAGTATTTTCATCATTTTCTGTTAACCCATTACTTCATATACACGCCTTTTAACGCCTTTTTCACCCCCCCCCCCTTTTTGTTGTCTCAAATGATGAAAAAATGCCTTATTTAGGCCCCAAACACTTGTTTTTGTTTGAGAAATGTTGTAAAAAAAAGTGACCCTTTTTTCGGCGCGGCCCCCCAACCAAAAGATACATCAGGGGGTTGCCAGAAGGGGGATGTGCCCCCTTCTGTTTGGGGGGGTTTGAAGGGGGGCGGAGTCCCCCTCATCGCCAAGAAAATTTTGGACTTGTGAGAGGCTGTAAATGACCCCAGATTGACCATAAGGTAACGTGTAACCAACGCTGAAAAGCATTTGACTCTATCTCAATCCATTGAGAAGTTGCAGCACTTTGAAATCAATTTTGATGGAAAAAATCAACGCAAAATAGTGATTTTTGGCAATTTTGAGATGTCCCCTCGTTGCCATGGTAACAGAAAATTTAAGCCTGAGCATGTTGTTGCAAGGACAATGGTCCAGTCAACATTTGTGCCAAGTTTGATTAGTGTTGAAGCAGTTTTTATAGTATTATAGCAATTTGAACTTGTAACGGGAGACTTTTCAATGAAAACAGCCATTTTTCACAAAATGCTCATGAAGCAATGGGTTAATGAAAAAAATAAAAAAATCTACAAAACAACAATTTATCTTCAAATTTATATGACAGGCCATGTTTAAACATGAAAAAACGGGATTTAGGGTAATTTCAAGTATTTTCATCATTTTCTGTTAACCCATTACTTCATATACACGCCTTTTAACGCCTTTTTCCCCCCCCCCCCCCCTTTTTGTTGTCTCAAATGATGAAAAAATGCCTTATTTAGGCCCCAAACACTTGTTTTTGTTTGAGAAATGTTGTTAAAAAAAGTGACCCTTTTTTCGGCGCGGCCCCCCAACCAAAAGATACATCAGGGGGTTGCCAGAAGGGGGATGTGCCCCCTTCTGTTTGGGGGGGTTTGAAGGGGGGCGGAGTCCCCCTCATCGCCAAGAAAATTTTGGACTTGTGAGAGGCTGTAAATGACCCCAGATTGATCATAAGGTAACGTGTAACCAACGCTGAAAAGCATTTGACTCTATCTCAATCCATTGAGAAGTTGCAGCACTTTGAAATCAATTTTGATGGAAAAAATCAACGCAAAATAGTGATTTTTGGCAATTTTGAGATGTCCCCTCGTTGCCATGGTAACAGAAAATTTAAGCCTGAGCATGTTGTTGCAAGGACAATGGTCCAGTCAACAATTGTGCCAAGTTTGATTAGTGTTGAAGCAGTTTTTATAGTATTATAGCAATTTGAACTTGTAACGGGAGACTTTTCAATGAAAACAGCCATTTTTCACAAAATGCTCATGAAGCAATGGGTTAAGTTATGCTCCGGAAACTGTTTTCAGTTTTAAGGTAATAGTGACCTTGACCTTTGACCTTATGACCCCAAAATCAATAGGGGTCTTCTACCCAATATGGACAATCATCCTATGAAGTTTGAATATTGTGGGCCAAATGGAACTTAAGTTATGCTCCGGAAACCAAATTGCTAACGTTTTCAGTTTTAAGGTCATAGTGACCTTGACCTTTGACCTTATGACCCCAAAATCAATAGAGGTCTTCTACTCAATATGGACAATCATCCTATGAAGTTTGAATATTGTGGGCCAAATGGAACTTAAGTTATGCTCCGGAAACCAAATTGCTAACGGACGGACGGACAGACGGACGGATGGACAGACAGACAGACGGACGGACGCCAGGGGGTATAACATAATATGTCCGAAATTCTTTCGGGCATATAAAAATGGAACACATACTTCATAGATAATAATATAAGCTGGTCATTGATATATAGTTATGTATTTAAATGTACCAAAGATTCATACATTCAGTGGATTCAGACTAGAATAATTCACAGAACTTTAGCAACAAATGCACAGCTGTTTAAATTGAAAATTGTGGATAATAAAATGTGTACTTTCTGTAACTGTCAAGTAGAAACACTTATACATTTATTTTGGGAATGTCAAAAAATTCAGTCTCTATTTCAATATTTGCAAAGTAACATACATAATTTTGACAATATTTTCAACTGTAAATCTTTTATTTTAGGTTCTGAAGATAAGGATTTCGAATATGATATATTGTTTTTAGAATTGAAAAAATACATATATTTGTCTAAGAGAAAAAAATTGTTACCCACATGTAATGGCTTTAAAAATAGCCTAAAATTAGCCTGGACTATTTACAAAAATACCAATTTGACTGACACTGAAATTAAAAGATGGCAAATTGTAAGATTGTTAATCGAATAAATTACACTGACTTTCTATATTTATGTTAGGTTCTCTTTTGATTTTGTTTTTTAAATAACTTACGTACATGTGTAAAATAGACTATTTGTATTCTTTAATTTTAATGTAATATGATAAAATTTAAGGTATATTATGATATTTAATTCGTAAATATTACAATGTGATATACATGTATAAATAATGTAAGGTATGAGGTGATGACCCCAACCCTCTCATACCTTTTACGGGTGAATAAATGGGGTTACCTAGTTGGGGCCTCAAAAAAAAAAAACAACATTTTCTAAACATGAACTCTTCATAATCTGAACACTCCAACCACTAAGCTACTAAGATTTACGTGTCTATATCCAATTTAACTCTCCTTTATTGCAGTAAAAGTGCAAATTGTAATAACTGAATAACTTGCACAACCCATTATGTCATAATGGTTTGACCGATTAATGTAAACGTTATCGTGTTCGACTTATAACAGTATTTTCCTCTGGATGATATTTTTACTGTTACCCACAAACCCATAAGTTATTTATATATTCTCATTTCAAAAGAGCCAACGCTGAGCAGGGGCAACTATTGACTTTTTTACTTTTTCTAAAAGCAAACAAAAGGTTGTAACAAAACAAGTAACCATTTTTCTATTTTTAGTAAAGCTGACCTTGACCCCAGTGGGTCCAAAAGCAATTTCCAACTTGGGTCTTCATATAAGCTTGCTATAAACCAAGTCTGATTACAATATCTCATTCCTAACTCTAGTCCCAGGACCATTTTTCTATTATTCGTAATGTTGACCTTGACTTTGATCCAAGTGCAATGCCAACCAGGCTTTCCACATAAGCTTGCACTTTACCAAGTTTGACTACATTATCTCTTTCCTAACTCTAGTTATTGTCCAGAAACCATTTTTCTATTTTTAGTAATAGTAACCTTGACCTTGACCCCCAATAGGTCCAAATGCTTTACCAAATAGGTTCTTCGTATAAGCTTGCTATAAACCAAGTTTGATTACATTATCTTATTCTGTACCCTAGTAATTGTCCAGAAACCATTTTGTCCATTTTTTAGTAACAGTGACATTGACCCCAGGAGGTCCAAATGCAGTATCAATCAGGTCTTTATATAAGCTTGCTATGTACAGTAAAAACTCTGAAAACCGGACCCTGTCCGGAATTGACCAAAAGTCCGGTTTTCAGAGGATTCCGGTTTTCAGAGGTTTATACATTTATTGATAATTATGATGTGTTTGAACAATGACTTTGTTCAATCATTTTGTATTTACTTTTCAAACCTTTTGTCTCAGTCAGACTTTAATTTCTTTTTGCAAGAAATATCTTGAGTAATTTAATTATGCAAATCCAATAATATAATTCAGAAAATCAGATATTAAAACAACATATTGTCTAAAATATATCATATCTTTTTCATTGGCTTTGGAATATGTAATTAATAGAATTTAGTATTACTATTTTTGCATATGATTAATTTCCAAACAAAGATAAATTCAATATCAAATTTTAAGCCAAACTGGAATCATTTAACAATAGTTTCCTAATTCTTTTAGACATTTAATATTAAAAAAAAAATTAAAAACATTTTCAAAAATCATACCTATACAGGGAAAGACTTATGATGAAAGAGCTATAATTTAATTGCCAATAAGAAATTAACATACACTGAGAAGTGTTTTCACACCTTCATGGGTAACGAGAGGTGATAATTGAACATGTCACCTGTTGAGATTATGTATTAATCTACATTAAAATACACAGAAGGTTGACACTTGAAATTGCTGTCCGGTTTTCAGAGGATTTTTTAAGCATGATTATCATTAGTAGCCATAGAAAATCGTCCGGTTTTCGGAATTCAGAGGTTCCGGTATTCAGAGGATTTTTTTTCAATGAACTTATCAGGATAAAATATGGGACTTTTGAAATTGTCCGGTTTTCAGAGGATTCCGGTATTCAGAGGGTGCGGTTTTCAGAGTTTTTACTGTACCAACTTTGATTATAATATCTCATTCCTTACTCTAGTTATTGTCTGGAAACCATTTTTCTATTTTAAGTAACAGTTACCTTGACCACAGGCAGTCTAAATGCATTACCAAATGGGGTCTTCATAAAATCTAGCTAAAAACTAAGTTTGATTAAAATATCTCATTTCTAACCCTAGTTATTGTCTGAAAACCATTTTTCTATTTTAAGTACCGGTGAACTTGACCTTGACCCCAGGGGGTTCCAAATGCAATACCAACCAGGGTTTCCACATAAGGTTGCTTTATACCAAGTTTGATTACAATTACTCATTCCAAACTCTACTTATTGTCCGGAAACCATGATGCGGACCGACAGACGGACGACTGACCAACAAACTGACTTTTACATAAACCCCCCTAAACTAATTTACATAAACCCCCCTAAACTAAGTTTGTAGGGGCATAATGAATTAATGTGGGGCGTCCGTGGCGGAGTGATTATTAGATCGTTCAACACAATCCACTTGCCCCTCACTGCTGTAATTTTGAATCCCGGTGTGACTATGGATTCTTTCATGTGAGGAAGCTATCCAGCTAGCTTATGGAACATTCAGAAGTTCACGGCCATATTAGAATAATTCAACAAGTCAGATTTGTCATTTGTTCTTTTGTCCAAGTATGAACCAAATGTGTTAATGAAACAAAAGGGCCAAGATGGTCCTAGATCGCTCACCTGACCAATCAAACTCATCTGAGCAATTTCTTAGACAAGCATACTGACCAAGTTTGATGACAAATGAGTCAAAAATGTGACCTCTAGAGTGTTAATAAGGTTTTTCCATATTTGGCCAGTGTGACCTAGTTTTTGACCCCAGGTGACCCATATTCGAACTTGACCTACAAATCATCAAAAAAAAACTTGCAGACCAATTTCCAGGATATTTAGATAAGAAAAGTAGCCCAACAAACAGAAGCCACTAGTGTTAATCAAAAGGCTGCAAGCTCTGTGGTATTTTCTGACCTTTGCAATCTAAATCGTACTGTTTCCTGTACAAGTTTATTTTTATATACTATAATTGATCTTACAGGGCACCGAGATGCAGCGACTGCATTTAGATTTTTTACTATAACAGTTTGAGTTTGATACATACTGAATTTTGCATGACTAGAGTTGCATCAAAAAATCATTTATGTTCATTTTTTATGACAGCCACACTTTATAACGTGGCTACTTCCTTAAAAAGACACTTAAAAAAAATAGTTGCCTCAACTGGGATTTGAACTCCAGACCTCTCACACCCTAAATGAGCGCGTTACCCCTGCACCACGGGAAGTTAAATCAAGTTGAATCAGATAATTCTAAATTTAGAATATCCATTTCAGGTTTGTAATCCTTATTAATTTCAAGGTATTTTGTTCACGATAAACCTGTTGTTTAACCAGGGCTGCCAACAGCAAATTGCAAAATCAGAGGAAAATACGCCGGGGGTCAAGGGGGCTGCGCAAGCCCCCTTTGCGGGTCAATGGCAGAACCCTCGTGGGGGCCCAGGGGGCGAAGCCCCCGGAAGCTCCTGGATTCTGATGATTTGGCATGCCCTAAAATCAATTTCCTGGACTTTAAATTTGACTTCCTTGGTTGCCTTTAAACATTCAGAGACACTTTAGTTGGACTTCAGGTTTTCATCAGCCCTCAAAACAAATATCCGACATTTTGACGCATTTTGACAACAGACAAGAGCGACAATGTAAACTGTAATTTGATTGGTTATTCTAAAATAGAATGCCGGAAAAGACTCGATTTGACCAATGAGAAAAGCGCTTACAGCAGGGTTCTCGGGGACGCTTATTTCGGCGTCCCGGTACGCATGTTTATTACAGCTGGACGCAAATATTTCAGAGCAAGGATTCCACGTACGCTTAATTTTGCCTGGGGACGCATAAACATTACCGATTGTTTACAACCAGAAATACACAAATGCGTTAGCGCGTGTCAGTCTATAGGTAGGCGGTCCTATGCACATCGACCCATGAAGCAATTAGCCAATCAGCGATAACGCTTCTGATCATTATCACGCTATAGTGATCAGACTAATTAAATGTATACACGCGCTGTACAGTTCATGTAATTCAGATATAACACAAGGTGATAGATCAACAGTTGATTGGAAATTAGCAAATTTTACCGACAAAAGGATAAAATTATCGACTACTTACGCCGCAAGTTTAAAGACTGTTTTCTCAATTACAAATGAGTGTAATTTGAATGATTGTCGAATATGTTCGCATAATAATGATTGTTGATTATTTTCGGCATTTTCTAGGCACAATTTTGCTTTAGTTTCATTCTTGCAAAATCGTTCTATAAGGGTATTAAGAATTTAAGATATTGTGCCGTAATGCCAGGTTCACATACGCTTTTCTTTGATATTTAGATTCTATCCGAAAATTGATCCAAACATCGGCGATTTCACGTTCGCCAGAAACCCTAAAATTTCGCAAAAATTCTCGGTTCCACGCCAAA